CCCCCTATCACAACTGTCTGGGCACCTTCCCTCAACGCCTCATTCATTTCAACACAAAATGGGCATAATGAGGACCTTCTTCCCAGAGTTGCTGCGTGGGTCAAACGAGATCACAGGAGTAAAGAGATTGGAAAACATGGCGGACGTGGAGTGAACGATCATTAACAGACTACCGACGACTCCGACGGCACAGTCCTTGTGCTTCAATCATCACACCCAAGGAAAACGAGAGGATCGGCCTCTCAGCAGCCATCACAAGCTAGGCACTTTCTGGGCTTGTTTCCAGCTGTTCAGAATCAGCATGGATGAGGCCAAAGGCCTCTGATTCCCAGTCACTCTCAGGAAGGCAGTCATATTTGGGGCTTCTGAATGCTGGGAGTGGGGGGCAGGGAATGAGCCAAGCAGTGGGGCTGATTTGGAAGGAAGGAGAGAGAGAAAGAGAGAGAGAGAGAGGGAGGGAGGGAGGGAGGAAGAAAGAAAGAAAGATCCCGAGGAATAGTTTGACCATTCCCAAAGCATTTCACCCACAGTAGCCCTTCCAATCCTCACATGATCATCCCTGTGATCCTGGGAAGCAGGAGGTTCATGGGAAGAGAGGCTGCATTATCAATGACGTGGGGCACTCCCAGGATGGAAATGCCTCTGCAGCTCTTGGTAAAAGAACTGCTCGGGGCCAATGAGAGCCTAGGGGGCCTGACTACAGACACATGGCTAGTCTCTGGCAGGGGTGGGACCAGACGGCAGGCATTTCTGAGTACAAAACTCTGTATATGGTGGCATGCTGAAACTCAGGTATCTATTCATTCACATTCTATAGCTTAAAAAAAGACTAAGGCAGAAAGGTCTTGAAAGACTAGACTGGCACGCTAAGCCCAATTCAATAACATTTCATAGACAAATGCACATGCTGGCATTTTGGTGACAAAGATTGTAGACTCATCAGTAGTAAGATGGTGCTGGTCACCCACTTGGGAGTTTGGACTTTGTACAGTTTGGAATGGAGGACCCCTGAAGTCTCTTGGGATCCCAAGATTCAATGTTTTCGTATGAGGAAATGGAGACCAAGCAAAGCATTTGATCAAGAGCTTCACAGATCCCAGTCAGGTGTGGCCTGAGGTTCTGGAGAACCTCACAGCCCACATGAGAGAGCCAAAGGTCAAGTGTCATGGCGCCAGTCTGATCAAGAATGCTGACAAATCCCAGTCACCTTTGGGATAAAATCCAAATTTCTCTGTTTGGTGGGTAAAGCCCTTCTCCATTCATCTTCCACAGTTACCTGGATCATGAATTCTTCTTCCTCCTACACTCACTGGTCTAGTCAAACTGGCCCAAGACTGGTTATCCCCTGCATGTGCCATGCCATCTCCTACCTCCACATCTCTGTACAGGGAGTTCTTATCCCACTCTCCCTTCTCATCTCTAGCTATTAGAACTACTAGTTTCCCTCAAGACTCACTCCAAGTAAGGGAGGGGATGTGGGAAAACTGGGACACTAATGCATTGCTGGTGGAGTTGCAAACTGATCCAGCCATTCTGGAGAACAATTTGGAACTACATCCAAAGGGCTATAAAAACTGTGTATAACCTTTGGTCCAGCAATACCACTGCTAGAACTGTATCCCAAAGAGATTTTTAAAAAGTGGAGGGGGGGAAGAACCTATTTGTACAAGGGTATTTATAGCAGCTCTTTTCGTGGTGGCCAAGAATTGGAAACTGAGGGGATGCCCATCCATTGGGGAATGGCTGAACAAGTTGTGGTATATGAACGTCATGGAATACTACTGTGCTATAAGAAATGATGAGCAGGCTGACTTCAGAAAAACCTGTAAAGACTTAAATGAACTGATGCTGAGTGAAGTGAGCAGAACCAGGAGAACATCGTACACAGTAACAGCGACATTGTGTGATGACTAATATCGATAGACTTGGCTCTTCTCAGCAATGCAAGAATCTAAGACAATTCCAAAAGACTCATGATGGAAAATGCTATCTACCTCCAGAGAAAGAACTATGGAGTCTGAATGCAGATCGAAGCAGACCATGTTTCATTTTCTCTTTCTTTCTTTTTTTTTTGAGTTTTTTTTTCCACAAAATAACTAATATGGAAATATATTTTACATGACTGCACATGTATAACCTGTATTAGATGGCTTACTGTCTCGGGGAAAGGAGAAGAAGGAAGAGAATTAAAAACCCCAATTTTTTTTTAAATGTTAAAAATTATTTTTACATATCATTGGGAGGAACTATTATTTAAAAAGAAGGGGAAAAAAAAAAGAATCAGGTTGAGGACCAAGAGGGACCACTTGTGGTTGGAACGTTAATAAAAATGTTGAAAAGGGGAAAAAAACCTCACTCCAAGTACCATTTCCTAAGAGAGGTCTTTTCTGAGCACCTTTATTACTGAGCCCCACTTCAGATCACTTTGGAATCATTTTTAATTTGTTTTTTTTAATTTACCTGTGCATAATTATACAGATACATGTGTATGTATATCATGTATAATTATGTATATTATAATATACATCTATGTGTAGATTATACACACACACAATGACCAAGTAAAGTCTAAGTTCTTTGAGAGTAAGGGTTATTTTATTTTTGTTTCTGTACCCCAAATACCTAGCAGGGCCTAGTACATTAGAGGCACTTAATATATGACTACTGAATTGAATTGAATGATGATAATTCAGTGCCTGGCACATAGTAAGGACTTAATATATGCATACTGACTGACTGAAAATAAAAGGATTTCTCCTACATTAATGCCCACTGATAAGCATCAGATGTAAAAGGAAGCCATTACTCAATTCCACCAAAACATAAAGAAAGGTAAACAGAGGCATGAGGGAGTCCCACTAGTTCCAAAAGAAAGATTTAAAGATATTTGTAAAAAAAAAATGGATAAGAATTTTACCAACACGTTGTTTAGAGTCTTTTGGACTTGAAGGGCAAGAGGTCTTTTCTACAACAAGGGAGCAAGTGGAAATGAGGGAATAGAGCATGGCAGCCAAGTTTGCCACCACGCCCCTTCCCAGCCCTCGCCTGGCGCCTAGGTGGCCCTTCAGGCCCAGGCGTGAACGCCACCTCGCCTCCAGGCTGTGAGGAGATGGGCAGGTTGTCCACATTATTCCTCACCGGTGCCTGTGAGTAGGGAAGTCTGGCTTCCCTGTCCTGGAGCTGCTAATCCATGTTAATTAGTCAACAACATGGCTCCCAAAGTTTGGTTCTGAAAGGAATGCTGCTACGCTGAAAAGCTGAAAACTGGTATGAACACTTGTATTTTACATACTTTTACCACCAAATACAAGCTAGTGAACATCTGGTGTTTTGCAAATTTGGGAAAACCCAGCTGCACTTCCTTGTTTCGAATGTGCCTCTGACAGGTGGGCACCATCTCCTGCGGATGGGGAGCGCTCCCAATCTGGGAGCTGTCTTTTTAAATCGAGGAATCAGACGCCGCTTCTGAAGCAAAGCAGAGGGAAGGGGGAAGGCTCCCAAGTGAAAGATTGGGTGTCAGAGGACCACAGAGCTCCCCCGCCTTGAGACCCAACATTCGTCTCCGCTCCTGCAGGGGCCTTGGAGCCAGAGACAGAAACACTGCCCTCGGGAGTTTCCAGCATCCCGGGGAGGGGGGAAGGGCCCTCAAAGCGCACCTCGGGAGACAGGTTGAGGGCCCCAGTGTGTGAGGAGGGAGGCGGGGAGGCCTCTGGCCCCAGTTCTGGCCCCACTCTGATGGCCTCTGCCCCCACTCAGGACTTCAGGTACACTGACCAACGCCTCCAACTCAGCCAAGACAGAGGCTTCCAGGCCTCCACCCCGTACCTGAACGAGAGGGCCTCCCCAGGACACCACCTGACTGGACACCCCTCCTACTGGGCCACGGGGATCACGCCAGCTGTTGGACAGGTAGTCTTTGCTTTTCCACTCAAACCCAAGCCCACCTTACTCAAGCTGCCCCCGCCCCTCAGGGTCTGCCGAGTCTCACTTTCCTCCTCTGTAAAATGGGGATAATCCCATCTGTAGCATCTCCCCCCTGAGAATGTGGTGAGGATCACCGGCCCCCACAAGGACGAGGCTTCCTCTGGCTGGGTAGGCCCAGGCCATTCTCACAGACCCTGACAGAGACCAGGCGCCGGCCTGTCCCAGAGGAGGGGTCTTCTCAGTATCTGACGACCTCACAAGTCCAGGCCAGAAAACACTCTACAGACCCTAAGGTGCTCTAGAAAAGTGATCCACCGTCTTGGAGGGATGATCCTTGTCAGGGCTTTCACAGAGCCCAGCACACAGTAGGCACTCAATCAATGCTCGTTCCCTCCCATCTCTTCCTCATCCATGTTTATATGTATTCACTTTACATTTATGTCGCATATTTTTTATGTGCACTTGTCTCTCCCATTAGAAGGTAAGGTCATTTTAGGTAGGAATTATTTCTTTCTCTGTACTTCTATCCCCAGTGCTCAGCACATGCCTGGCATAAAGGTCTGTTACTGATTAATATCATTATTACATTTGTATGGTTTACTCAGCTGCTCCTCAAAACAGCTTTCAAAGGAAGGTTGTGGCAGGGATTATTAGTCCTATATCACAGAGAGGAAACTGAGGCACAGAGAATTAAACGACCAGCCTCTGGTCACTGGTGGCAGGAGATGCCCATCCCCCGTAGACACAGCCAGGGCCCTGGTCAGAAGACTGTGGTCCTCTGAGGAGACGATTCTACAAGGAAAGGCACAGGGGCCCTGGGCCCGGGTTGGACCGAGCTGGGGGACCCCCAAGGGACCAGTCTCATTCAGTCTAATGCTAAATCAGTCAAGTCTGGACCGGCACAGAAATCTCCTGCCACGTCTCAACTGCCCCCGCTAGCTCAGAGGTCACAGTCACTCATGTTGGGCAACACTCCAAATCTCAGAAAAATGCAATCTGAGGCCCCTCAGCCGGGGGCCACCCCAAGCATTTCATCAAAAATGGCCCATTGGCTTCTCGGGGATGTGTAAAATTACCTTGGTCATGGCCTCTGGAGAAAACGTCATCGCGTCCAATACAGTGAGGAGGTCGCCTGGGTGGAGACGATCAAAGTACTTGGCGCACGTGTCATAGGCATGGAGCCATTCTGGTACGGAGTCCGGGGCTTTCTTAACGAGTTGGGGGTCGCCCCTCCAAAACAGTTTCTGCAGCCAGACGGTGTAGAGGGAGCTGGGGGAGAGCACAGACCCATCCGGTTTGGGGATTTTGGAAGCCAGCTTGGATATGGAGAGAATATTCTGACTGGTGAGGACGGGCTCCAACGCGTCCAGAGGACTGGCATTTTCATCGGTCAGCTTCTTGTAATTCAGACCTTTTGGCAGAGGGAGGAAACAGTCAGTGAGCATCCGCTGCCTGGCTAACCATGCCCCAAAGCCTGCTACATGCCAGAGTGCAGGCTGCTCAGGTGTCCGCTGGGGCACGGCCAAAGCCGCAAGAACGGCGGTAAGGAGAGAAGCCCCCCCCCCCCCCCCCCGTGTAGCGCCCGCAGCTTCTCCCCCATCCCCCAGGGTGCAGCTCCAGGCCAGAGACTGGGAGGGAGCTGGCTCTGGGGCAGGGCCTGGAGAGGATGTGGCTGGCTGGCTGGCTGGCTCCACTGCAGAGGATGACCCCTAAGGAAGGAGAAGGGCTAGAAGGGAAGAGGGAGAAAGCGGGTGAGGAGAGAAGCTGGAGAGCAAGCAGAGAGGAGGCCGTCTCGGGGGAGAGAGGACAGGTGGCACTGGGGGGCATCGCAGGGGTACGAAGGTCCAGGATCACAGATCGAGCAAGGGCCCAAGGCCGAGACGTGAGGACCCCTCCCCCTCCACGAGGGCCCAGGGTGCTGAATATGGCACAGGACATGCGATTACTCTCAGGGGACTGACTGGTTCTGTTCCATTTTTCTTTTTTAATTCTTTGTTGTAAGGGCCGGATTTCCAGGAGGAGGGAAAGGGAAGGATGATATAAAAACAAAGCTATCAATAAAATTGACTTGAATTTCTGGTAGAAAGGAAGTGTCTGCTGACAGAATGACCTTCTCTCCTCTGGACGATGCAGGCACAAGCTGAGCGTTTACTGATGCCATCTCTTACCTGACGCCACTACCTTCAGTTTCTTCAGCAGCCGAACGTGCGTGTCGGGCGCGATGGCCCGCTTCCCAAATCGCAGGCAGCCGCAGCTCGCCAGCAGGCTGAAGAAGTACAGCAGCCTTTCATGATCGGTGCCTCCGATCCCGGGGTAAACGTACTTGGCCATGCGTTCATGAAAGAGGTCAGGGTTGGCTTTCAAGGCCTCGAGGAGCCCCAGAGCTTGGGCTCTGCCTTCTATCTCTGCGGTAGACAAGCTGCAATTCAAAGACAGAGTCCTGGCTTTCAGAGCTGGCTCCAGGCCAACTAACCCACTCTCTGTTCCCTTTCTGCTCGATGCAGGCCTTCCAGAGCAGGCTGAGAGATGACCTATCTATTAGCCCCAGGCAGGGAAAGCCTGGCCGCTGGGGCTGCAGGGCAGGGAGACGTCTGGCCACAACAGAAGGGTGGAGGGAATATCTAATGGACCGATACACCTAAGAAGAGCCCTGGCAGTGGGGAGATCTGTCCTGGCCTCCAGGGGGCCATTTGGGAGAGGGGGAGGAAACAGATAGACATGCCAATGGCTATCGCACACAAGGCAACAAAAGGGATCCCGAGATAAGGCTCTACAAAGCTCCACACAAAATCGAAGAAAAGGAGCTGGCTTCGGACAGGGAGACCAAGGCGGGGCCCCATGGAGAAGATGCTGTCTGGGGCCAGGACTTGAGGGGTGGACAAGGGATGGGGACAGAGCCAGGAGCCAGCAAGGGGAGCCACAGAGGACGTCCACCAGACTGCCGCCCAGGAGGGGAGAGGAGAGTGGCAGCCCAGGCGGGGCGGGGGAGGCGCTCCAATGACGTCCCAAGGGCTTTCTATCCTGTTCTCTCAACCTTGGCCAGCTCCTGAGCCCCTTCGTTGGGGAAGTGCACAGGTTCTTCACCAACCAGGAGAGAAAGGATGTTTCTTACGCTAAAGTGGACGTACTGACCATGCTGGGACTCATCTGAGCGGCCGGGGCACTACCAGGGATCATTCTCCTAGAAGAACTGAGTTTGCCCAAGACATACACGCCAGGTTTGGCCTTTCCACAGCAGCCAAGACACGAAACAAAGTGAAGAGCCTTGGTTCCACTGGTCACCGACAACAGCACGACGGGCACAGAAGCAAGGGGACCTATCTCAACGTCTCAGCTTTGCAACCCCCTCAGCTTCTTTCCGTAAGCCAAACCTCCCCTGGCCCCCGGGCTCTGGCTCTCTCTGCGACCGGGCTGGAGGAAACAGACAAGGCCAAGCAAGCTCTGCCTCCTGGCCTGTTATCAGGTCAAGCCTGGGGACAGAAAACCTCCCAACATGAGAGGATTTCCGTTAAGATCAAAATGGCGCCTGCCATCGAAAGTTCATTCACCACACACAGTCCAAGGGAAGAGCCACACAGAGTCACTCTGAGCAAGGCAAGTGGATGTTGGAGGCGAAGGCCAGCCTCTGAGGGGAAGGGGATGGGGACACGGACGGGGACAGGAAAAGGCAACAAGCAGAGGGCCACTACCATCACAAAAATTCATTCCGTTTCAAACCAACACCACAAGTAGATTTAGTAAGATTAATACCTCCTCCCCAAAAAGACAGGAGAGGATTGACTGACATCCTCAGAACACATGAGACACATGTCAACACCCAGGGAAACACTTTCTGAATGAGGAGACATCACTTCACCAATATTAGAAACAGGCACAAGTCACTGGATTTGCTGACTGCAGTCCAAAGTGGTTTCTTCAAGATGGTGCCTAGAGAAGGGCTAGGACCCAAAAGTGGACCCAAAAGGCCCTCCATGGGTGACACTGGTAAGAACTCAACCAATCACCTGTTAGCAAAGAAGCCTCAAACAGACCACTGAGTCATATGGCTATACTTACAGAAACAAAGAGGTCCACAATGGCACTTTAGGGCCAGGTCATAATGACAGAAAGTTATCTTCACATAGCCTGGTCTTAGGGAGCAAAGTCAATTGTTCAAGGAAATGGGGGAAGCTGCATTTGGCTAGTGGCTAGGTACCTTGGGCTAGAATTATACACCAAAAGCTTTCACATACTGACAGAGGACAAATGCCCATCCTACAAATAAGAGATCTCAAAATATCCTTAAGAACTCCACAAATAAAAGACCAGAGCACTGGCAAGGCAGAATTGTTGTCCACGGTCACAAGACAGAACAGGGACTGATAAACACTTGGGAACGTTTTTACTCCGTATTGCCAGGCCAAACTCTCATCATCTCCAAACTCTTTGGATCGAACCTTTTTCAAGCTATCAAGCCCTATGAGAGAAGATCAGAATCCCGCGAGAACAGGCTGAGATGAGGACTGGCCCCTCATTGTAGTCTGAGGCTGGAGCGGGCATCTACATGTGCTCATTCAGCCACAGAAAGCCCTTCTTTGGGGAGGCCTCGCAACAAGACGGAGAATGTGAAGTTTGCAAAAATGACAGTTGGCGTTTTGCACAGGACCAACTCTTCTGACAATGAGAAGAATGAAGTCATGGAGATCACTCTGACACGCAGACCATTGGCAGATGTGAGCACAAAATGGTGGTGATGACAAGAACGGGAGGAGCTCAGCCAGGGCTGAAAAGCGTCCTCCTACCGAGGTGACCGCCAGTCCTCACTATTACTTCGGCATTATAGGCAGCACTAGCCCCATCTTACTGAGGAGGAACTGAGACTGAGTGGTTTCACCACGGTCACCGGCGGGTTCTAGACAAGGGGAAGCTGGTCTGATGACTTAGACATTCTAGGCCCCAAGAACCTACCGTGTGCAGGACACTCTGTCTCTTTTTTTTTCTTTTTTTTTTTTTTTTTGCTTAGGCAGTTGGGGTTAAGTGACTTGCCCAGGGTCACACAGCTAGTAAGTGGCAAGCGCTTGGTCTGAGGCCGAATTTGAACTCAGGTCCTCCTGACTTCAGGGCCAGTGCTCTATCCACTGCACCACCTGGCTGCCCTTTTTTTTTTGTTTGTTTGTTTGTTTTTTCACTCTGTCTCTTTTGATGCTTACCGCCACCATGGGCAATATGGGAAAGCATCATGACCCCATCAAATGAGAGCATCTGGAGCCAGAACAGCCCTTGGGGACCACCCAGTCCAAACAGAATGGAACAGGGATCCTCTGGAAGCATCTCCACCACAGTGCCTTCCATCTTCTTCTCCTGAAGACCTCTGCAGAGGGGAGCCCGTACAGCCCCCAGGCAGCTCACCCTCTGCTGGGTCACCCTACTGCTAGGTGGCAGCAGCCACAACGTGACTCCTTCATTTCCATCCCTGCAAAAAGTTGTTCCCTCCTGTCAACCAGTCTAATCTCTCTTAAGGACAGCTCCCCACCCACCAACCCCAAGTCTCCTCTATTCCCGGACAACATCCCCGGGTCTTTCAATCAACGATCATATGACTATTTTACAAATGAGAAACAGCCTCTGAAAATTTGCACGACTTGCCCAAGATCAGCTGGCTACAAAGAGAAAAGCCAAATCTCTAGCCTGGTATGAGGAATTAATCCGCCCCCCCCCAATTTTTTTTTCCAAAATTCACTTGAGAATGTTTCAAATTAGTGGGAAGGTAAAACTGTGCAGAAAAGCAAGTGAGAAAAATCAGCAGTCCTCTCTCCTTCCCACCACACTACAACAGAGGTGGACGTGTCTCATACCCACCACAAAATGGGTGATGTACAACACCCTCCAAGAGGCGACCCAAACTACAGAACCAATCTAACACTGTCCCTAAGTAGATGCCAGTCTTGACCCTATCACAAGGGGGATCTACCATGATTCTTCATCCTAACACTCCGTGAACTAGAACATTTGGGTGATCTGTCCACAGAATAGAAAGATAACAGCTCTCACTTTCTCTACTTCACTTGGGGTGTAATGTCAACCTTAGGCAAAATTATATCCCCCCATTCCTAGATTTTACTGTGCCCATGACTAGGTCTGTCTCATCAGCAATTTAGGTTAATTATCTTGTCAAGATTGACACATGTATTGGAATACCTTTACTGACACATGATAAATACAGATACCTCCTTCCCCAGGAAATTACAATGTGCTAACATCTTTTACAAACGTCTGTGATCAATAGCCCATTTTAATAGGCTCCAGAGAAAGAAGCTGTTATCTCTCCCCTTGGAACATGAAATGAAATCTTAGAAAAGCATTCCAAGGAATCCACATTCAAAGGGCCACCAGTGGACGCCAGGCAATCACTGTAGGCTTTGCTTTAACCAAACAAATGATTACCCTCATAAACAGCTGAGTGCCTTTCTCCCCTCCTCCAAGTTTTAGCTATAAAGCAGCTTATACAAATAGGGAATATTTGACTATCAAAGATTAGCTATTGGCATAAACTAGGTTTTAGCAGCACACAATGCACAAGGCATGAATTATTAATACTAATCCTATGATTAAGGTGTACTAGAATGGCTTCCAGTTGTCAATCACGCCAGGAAGAAGACAGAGTCAAGAAAAGTGTGTGTGGAAGGGCCTGGTGCAATTACAGGACAAATCATTTCTTTAAATGTATTTAGTCTTCTCTCAATCTGCAATGAATACTAATTCAGGCAGCACAGATGAGAAAAGAAATGGGGGAGCGCAGCTTGGGTACTTTCTCTTCCTTGATATAAATAGTCCTGAATTTCGGTAACTTTCCAGTATCTCTTTCATGTAGATCTGCTTTGCAGCTATCGGCCAAAACCTGGCAGAGCTGAGCTCAGACAGGCTCCTTGGCAGAAGGCTGCCCTGGGGGCCATGGCATTTCATCAGACCACAGGACCCAGGGCTCGGGGCCACTACAGATCCCCTTCTAGAGGGGAGGAAAATGAGGCCCAGTGAGGATGAGGCAGTGTAGTATTGGGGGGGGGGGGGAGAGAAGGAAAGAAATAGAGACAGAGAGAGAAAGGAGGGAGGAGACAGAGACAGAGAGAGAGAGGAGGGAGGAAAGAGGGAAAGGGAGGAGAGAGAAGACAGAGAAACTAGGGAGAGAGAGAGAAAGGAGAAAGAAACAGAGAGATAGAGAGAGAAAGGAGGGAGGAGACAGAGACAGAAACAAAGGAGGAAGGGGAGAAAGAGAGAGAGAGATGGCATTTATAAAGTGCTCAGCAAAACTTGAGGCACTCAATACATGTCCATTACTCTGACCATCGCTGAGGGGCAGCACGGACAGGCTGTGATCCAAGGCCACACTCTCCCCACCAGATGATGCTGACTCGGCTCATGTGCTGGGCATGGAGATGTGGC